TTTTTTTTTTTTTTGCTTCCTGCTCGATACAACGATTAACTTGCTAACATGTGAAGCTTCCTCAACGCCCGGTGTAACCTTAATTCATAAGAGGCACATATTAGCAAGGTTAAAGCAAAGTTCAGAATCACGGTTTTATTTTCAGCCAGTGAAGCAAGTTAGGTATTCCCACGGTCGTTGTAGGCAAAGTAAAGGTCAGGTCTGAAGTGTGGTTACATCACATATCAGACTTTTTCCAATATTTAAGGCAAGATTTATAAACACCTTTCTGTAAGTTATTACTCTGTAGTGCACTTAAAAGCACACTTGTGGTCCCACCCCGACTAGATGCTATCACTAATTAATAAAGGCTAACAGATAATAATAACCACATTACCAAACTGTGTTTGGTAATGTGGTTATTATTGTACTGCAAGCTACATAGAGTTTCAAAGTGCATACACACTCGTTATATACAGTTTGTGTGGCAGTAAACAGGTGTTATGTACAAATCTAACACACTGTTTGGTTTGTGACCTTCGCTTTGTGATGACCCTTCTACCAGGTTAAAGCTGCTGGTCTAACAATAAAGCTGGCCTGTGTTCTTCAGACTCGTTGAAGGAGCTGTAGTTGTCTCTGCTTGTTTAAGGGCAACAAACACACTACACGATAGATGCTAAATTATTAGTTTATATATTTTGTAAGTCCGTACACGAATAATAATGACATTGGCTTATAATTTGGCACAATTTGCATAACTGTGAATGCTCCCAGTTATTTTCTCTGTTTTCAAATATGAGTATTTGATGTGTTTGCTACTTTTTGTTAAATGTGGGTTGCTGTTCAGACAGAACATCTTAACACAGCTTGTGATCTTGGTTTCTTACATTATTACAGGCATCACCATCTATTAGCACAGGAAGAAAATAATGAACATAATATACATTTCATACAGCAGTTACACTCCATTAGAATGAGAAAGCCCATGTTTGATCTTGACTGCTATCTATATAATACTACTACTACTAATAATAATACTAATACCAATAATAACTATTAATGACAAATGGCAAGCCAAGAACATTTTATTTGCCTTTTATTTTTTAGCTTTGTGTAAAACTGATCTAGTGCAGGCAAAAGGTGAATGTGAAGCAATAAAGGATCAAATTACTGACATGTTGGAACAATAATGAGTACAGATTATTTAGTTTCATCTAAACACAATGGCAGTCATGAGTAGGAATGACTGGATTTTTAATTGTCTAACCAGTTTTAGTTGTACACTTGATAGTTACCAGACAAGTTTATAAAGAGAGGAAAGTCATTTCTCCCTCCCACTAATGCCATGTTGAAACTAACACCTAAAGGTAAGTGTTCAGTAACATAATGAAATGAGGGTCCAGTTTTGTTAAAAAACTTGCATCTGTAAAGTAAATAGTAAACTGGGGGGTTTAGGTGTGGTGAACTTTGTTCCTTTCATTCCTCTCTAAATCCTGCTCACCAGTTATTTTCTAACAGAGTGGCATTGTATTGATGGTGCTTTATTTTGTAGTGCTGCAGTCTCCTAACAATAATTTTGATTCGGCACAGACAGCTTGATTAGCATAATCCATAAAACACACTCGATCCTCTTTCCCCACAGTGTGATAGTCTTGACATATTTCCACACTGACCTGTAGGCCCTTTGTTGCACAAGCCTTGTTGCTGCTTCCTCTTGACTTTTCAAAGTTTTCATAAGCGCAAAGAGCTGTGGATGCACTTGCTCGGTCCGGGCTTTATACAGTTTTGAAATTTTCCATTTTAACCCATTTATGTTTTCCACATTACACAAAAAAGACAGATGAGATTTTAAGAGATTGGATTCAGAACACGCTGTACTTTATTTCTTCTTCTATTCTATTTAACTCAAATTAGGAAGCTGTGTGGTATGTTTCACATCGGTTTTGAAATGCGAGTTGCAGAATGACTGACTTGGTGTTATTTTGAATTTCAAGCCTGGCGAATCAGGCTGACAATCCACTCACTGTATGTTTCAGTCTTCCAGTAAAACATGAGACTCATCTGGGAATCAGGGAGGGGCTTCTGTTACTGCTAGGAGGGGTGTCTTATCTTTGTTGCACACATTCGGAATCAGCCTCACACAGCAAAGGGTGTGTGTGTGTGCAGTTGCGTTTCTCAAGAGTTGATTAGTAAACGGCCACAGAATCACAACAGACAAAGCTAAACTAAAAGACAGGACAGTGTAAGCCATCAATGGTCATGTTTTCTTTCAGCACATCTTAAAGGCTGCATCGATATTTGCTTCTGGGGATTGTTGTATTACATCAGCTGACCATAGTAAAAGATATATATAAGACCATGAAAATAAAAAGACCACCTATTTTTTTATTTTTATTTTTTTACTAGTACCTGAAAACACCATTATAATATAATCTGCTTTAAAAAAATCATCTCCACTGTTGGACAGTCTTTGCATTTAGTCTCATTTTGATTTCATAGCTGCAGATCTTTCTTATCCATACATTTTACACCGTGGGCCACATGCAGCCCACTTTGATCTTAAGTGGGTCAGACCAGTGAAACTCCACTTTGTGTCAGCGTAAAGACATTTAACTAAACATGTAATCCCTGATGTCTTTATATAAGTGCAGTTTCATCAAAATTTGTAATTTTTTAATGCGATATATATGTAAAATAAGTGAAAAACATCTGTTTTAATACTTTCCTGTAGTCATAATAATGTACTTTTATTTCTATGGTAGAACATTTCTGTAGTAAATGTAGTAGATACTTGAAAAACCGAGGTCTTTATCAATTGCAGAAAGTTGTAAAACTTAAGAAAATACAGTAAAATGTACAACACACACACAAACACACACTTCTTAAAGCCATCCAGTGGGCCAGATTGGAGTCTTTGCCAGGCCAATTATGACCTCCAGACCTTATGTTTGACAACCCTGCTTTTTAAGTTTCTTACTACACAGGCACTGAGTGTGATGCATTATTAGTATTGGAAGGTTAAATAGTGTTATTCCCCAGTTTTCATTTCACAGTTTCAATTCTAAATACAAATTCCCGGCCTGGTTTAAAATCCCTTATTTGTAATGTTTCCTAGCATGATGCTGAACCTTAGTCAGTTAATTTCCAGAATTGATCTCTTGGATTTGGTTACAGCAGAAAAGAGTTATGTGTTGCACTTTAGATGTTTTTATCATGTATTCAAAAAGTTACCACAAAAACCTAAAACATTTGCTGGTTGTGGTTATTGTGTACCCAGCATTATTTAATGTTCAGAAGAAGTTGGGGGTTTAAAACAAGACCAATTAAATTACCTCTCAGTTCCTCTCCTGATGGTGTGTGACTAACCATTCAAGCAGACAGTTTTATCTTCTTGTGTGTAAATGCAGTGGAACAAGCTTAAACGTAAATTGCGCTGCCAAGTTTTATATGCCCAAAGTTCCCAAATCTGTGTCCTGCGGAAATGTAATTGATATTTTATTGTCAACCCAAAGGAAGGAAACACAGGGGAACATGCTGAGGAAGATAGACTTGGCCTATCTCCTGAGCCAGCCCTAGATCGCCCCGCAAATACAAACATGCTTTGTGTTGTCCAGAGAACTTGGCATGATGGAGTAAAACAAAGAGCTGCCACAGCCTCCTACACCAGCCTGGGAGAGATAGAAATCACTCAGACTCAGGCTGTGACACTGCCAGGAGTGCTTACTGTCAGAAAAATATAACACTTACAAGGAAAAATATGCCCAAAAGCAATGATTTGGCTTATATCAATTGCTGATTTTAAGACCACACTTGTGCATTCATACCAAGACCTCAGTTGGATAATGTAACTGTTATGCTGGAATAAATGATAAGCGATCTTTATTATTTTCTTCAGACAAGGATGCAGAGCCTGCAACCCGACCCAAATGCACAGTACAAGAGTGTGTACGAGGCTCTGAAAAGGATCATCCGGACTGAGGGGATCTTCAGGCCGCTGAGAGGTCTCAACATCACTATGATTGGAGCGGGGCCTGCCCATGCACTCTACTTTGCCTGCTACGAACGAGTGAAACGCTCACTGAGCGACGTCATTCAGAGCGGCGGCAACAGCCATTTAGCCAACGGTACGAGTTTCTGCATCTCAACACAAACTACTGCTTTTACCGTAGACTAAGCATCACAAGACTTGGAGGAGCTGAGTTAGGAGAAGTCATATCCTGTTTACAGTGGCTGGGACAAATCCCAATCGCAAACACGAGAAATCCAAACAGCGTGTGTTATGATTGGGATATGCCATTTAAGCCAGTGTCTTTTTTTAGTAAGAATGGTAATCCAGCACAGCCTTTACTAAAATGCCAAAAATAAGCGTGATATTAGTCATAAACTGATATGGGGATGTTTTCTTTTTATTACTGCTTCAGATATTTGACGTGTCAACGTGTGTTTGTTTGAATAGGTGTGGCTGGTAGTGTGGCAACTGTTCTTCACGATGCAGTCATGAATCCAGCTGAAGGTAAGAACTGAGAACATTTCCTAACAAAGTACTTCTTTGTCTTTTAACAGTGATGGTATTTTGTCCTTTGTCACTAATCCTTCTAATAAGAGTTATCTGTGTATGAATGGTGCACTTTTTCCCTCTGTCCCGCTCAGCTTAGCTGTTGTACAAAGTGCACCTGAAAATTTACTTTAGCAAATGCACTGAATGAATTTTAATACGCAGCTGAAAGTAGTGTGTGCTTTTTATTTCTCTCTAAGTAAAGTTTTCTCCTGCTTAAAATTAGAGCTCTTAAAAAAAGAAGGGCTAATAAATCATTTTATGGTTTTTTTGTTTTACCTTTTTTATCAGAGATATTGTGTGCAAAGCATGAAATTATATAGAATACATGCAATCAAACACACTAACACCCTTCCTGTTTTCAGTGATAAAGCAGAGGATGCAAATGTACAACTCTCCGTATCGAGGACTTTGGGACTGCATCCGAACTGTAACATATACTGAAGGCGTTGGAGCCTTCTACCGCAGCTACAGCACACAACTGACCATGAACATCCCCTTCCAGGCTGTTCACTTTATCACCTACGAACTGATGCAGGAGCAGTTAAACCCTCACAGACATTACCACCCCGGTAGCCACATATTGTCAGGCGCAGCAGCAGGAGCCGTTTCCGCAGCAATTACTACTCCGCTCGATGTCTGCAAAACACTGCTCAACACACAAGAGAACATAGCACTCAGCTCCATGAACGTCAGCGGTCACTTGACTGGTATGGCGAACGCTTTCAGGACGGTGTACCAGCTCGGTGGTCTGTCAGCCTTCTTCAAAGGGGTCCAAGCTCGGGTTATATACCAGATGCCCTCCACCGCCATCGCCTGGTCGGTGTATGAGTTCTTTAAGTACTTCCTGACAAAGCAGCAGCTGCCTCAGGAGCATGAGGCGGGACCTCGCCCTCTCTAACAGAAAGTGCGTTTGAGCAGCACACAGGTGGGCTGATGACAGAAAACTCAGACATGAAGGTGTAAGAGGTCTTGGCATTTTTCCACATGCTGCTGATGAAATAACATGACTCATTTTTTACAAGGAAGAATGGTGGGGGTGTGGCAGAGAGAGAAACACTCCTAACAGTGTGTTATTTTTCAGTTAGCAATGTTCCACAACCATGATAGGCAACAAAGATCACTATATATGTCTGTATAGATATTTATATATCTATATAGATAGATAGATACTTGTAGAAGAAGTGATATTGTTCTTCCTCCAGTCCACAAACTCACCAACCCCAGCTTTTCCAAACACTCCCATGTTGTTTGTTGTTTCTATTTCTTAATATTGGAACTCCATATTTATTTTCTTAGCCTGTGTGTGTGTGTGTGTGTGTGTGTGTGTGTGTGTGTGTGTGTGTGTGTGCACAGAACCATCACAGCACATTCTTTATTTCCACGTCTCTGCTGATGAGACAGCTACACGTTCCAAGTGCCTTATAAGCATATAAAACCCTGCTTAACCCTTTTTCCTTTTCTGTTCTCGACATAGGAAATCTTCCCATATTTACATTTTCTTTGGTCCAAGTTGCATCATGAAAAGCACACAATTCTGCTAGAATGAATTATGAATGAATACAGGCTCTTTGTATTGGCATCAGTCACATCTGTTAAACGCACACATAAATCTGCATCAATTCTCCTGATTGTTTTGGGGGGGTTTTTGTATTTTTTTTTTTAAATTAAATACTAAATACTTTCTTCCTGCCCCCTGAGAGATCCCGTTTCTCTCTCGGCATGAAGGTGTGTAGGCCGTAGCGGTCCAGCTTTTTGCCTGCACAGAACTGCAGTGCATCTGAATCACGCACAATTTAAAGATCGTTCGCTGTTACTGAAGGCAGGCAGCTTGTTTATGTGTATTCAAAACACGAATACACAGCGGTGACTATTTCCGAGAAGCCTCTCTGTTAGCCTGGTGTGATGTTCAGCTTTCGTGTGAATCGTGCTGACCGTGAAGATTAAAGCTGTACATTGTATGTAAAATGCTTTTTTATTTTTGCGCACACACCCTGTGATGCAAAGTGCAACGTGATGACTTGACGTCAGACGTACACTTTGTTACCACGAGGCCAGTAAAAACTTGATCGCATCAGTAAGGGTAAGCAGGCATTGTTATTTCTTTTATTTTCACTCATCCTGTTGTAGTTACACGTTTCCTGTGTGCTCTCTGCTCTTTTCAGCCTATTGTCATTTTGCCAGATCTTGATGTTATCCAGAAAGCAGTCAGATGTATTTATTTTGAATTAAGGAGGATATTTTTCTTACCCGGGAAAAGTTTGACGCATTCTCGTTGATCTCGCAGCCCCATCAGCCACCGATTCCTCACATTTGTACAGTTGGGTAAACGATACTAAACCAAAGACAACCTATGCATTCTACTTTTAATCTGCACGATGTTGCGTGCCTGCCTGCGGTGGATTTTTATTCCACTTTTTGCGATGTAGTTTTCACTCAGTAGTGTTAAGATTTACAGTCACATCTTCAAGTTTGGAGCTCATTGGTGTTCTGAGCAAACACCATTGGACTTTTATTTTTTGTTGTTGTTCTTTTGAATGTCATAAAAAAAAGTTTGAATTAATCTTGAAAAACTACAGTGCAACCTAATTTTTTACATAGTGATATGGTTGACTCGGAATAGACTACATAAACTATTCATATTGAATTGTTTTCACATGGATGGATAACATGTTTCAATATAAAAGTAGATTGATGTTTCAGTCTGTTGCACACATTGTGTCTTTTTTTATTTTATTATTCTTTTTTTAGTTGGATCCGCTGAGGAAAATCTCAGATTTTGAGGTATCTGTTAATAACTGAGATATAAAAGTAGTGTCAAAAGTATTTTGAAACAGAAAAGCTGATGTTCTATGTGGTTTGAATAATGTAAATATTTTTATGATCTTTACACACAAAAGTGAGTGTCATCTCCAGTGACAGAAATGCTTGAAAGTTTGACCCTGCAAATACAAAATGATTGTGATAATGCTGCTACAGTATGCAACACTGGAGCTGAAATAAACATGTAAGTGAGAAATGGTGCCCTTTTGTGTTTGATTTTTTCTGGAGTATTTGTGTTGGGAATGAGTGTTGCAGATTGGGGAAGATGTTTGTTCTGTTTCATAGAACAACAGCAAAAGTTTTATAGTGGAGTTTGATTTAAAGTAGAATATTTTACAGTCCTGTTATATCATAGTTCTATTTGAAAAGCAAACACGGGGAAAAACCTTTGTTTGTGTGAACCAGCCCTTTAACTTGTAAGAGTAATACAGTTTCGGTAGAGGGCGCTGTTACATAAAGGTCGACATAACAGGCACGCCAATCAGTGACTTGCTGTAAAAGTGTTGGTATCTCTTATTTAATAGTTACAAGGAAGATTTTTTTATTATTATTATTATTATTATTATTATTATTATTATTATTATTATTGTAGAGCATTAAAATAGAAGTAAGGGGCTGACAGCTCACACAGGAAACACGGGATCTAGTTTTCAGGCAGTCAATTACTGCAAAAGATTTTTATCCAAATAATAATATTTAAACAAAAAAGTCATATGCTTACATTTAAATTACATTACTTTTGAGCCTCTTAAAACAAACTTTACTTTTGTTGAATTAAAGCTGAAATGTTACACTGATTATTTGATCTTAAGTCCCTACACTGGTTTACAAAGGCAACATTTTTTTTTTAAAAAATTGTCCTTGTAGAGTACTTCCTGATCTAACTGTATATCAACAATGCTTTAAAAATGGTCGAGAGCAGAGGTTTTACAAATGTCCTTCATATTTTAGAACTGGTAAGATTTGCTGTGGTGTTTCCTAGACATCAGTTTGGTCAGTTAAATGTCTAAAAAAAATCAGTCCCAAAAACTTAAAGTAGTCCTGTTCTTAAAAATTAAACAGTGAAAACACAATGCTGTGAAAGCCTACTCTCTCTCTCTTTGTTTCCCTCTCTTACATATTTCAAATCAAACAAATTTTAATATTAGACAAAGATAACCCAAGTAAATACAAAATGCAGTTTTTTATATACTTTTTTATTTATTAAGGGAAACAAAAATATCCAAACCTACCTGACTCTTTGTGAAAAAGTCACTATTTTTTGAAAAGCTAAGTTCACTTGCC